TAGAAGAATCAGAGAGATCCCACATCTGTACGCAACGGCAAGGGATTAAGCCGCTTGGAAAGTAGCTGGTCGTCGACGATTGGAATCGCTCTTCGTGGAATACGGTCAAGCCGAAGGAACTGGTGCTGGGGAGCTCCTACCCAGAGGTGAGAACAGTACTCCCTGTGGGGCTGAATTTGCACTTTATAGTTGCAAGCAGTGATTAGAGGCTAACATAGCATTTCCTCCAAATGACCGCGAAACCAAATCGATTTGTCAACGCGTCATTCTATATGTCAACGCCCAGTATCCTAATGCTAGTTGAGGATTTAAGGAGAGTGTCATCGAAGAGAGGAGCTAACACAGGATGTTTTTTTAACGGAAAACATCTCCTTCTAAACCATTTTAGCGAGGATCTCCTCCTCAGCCTAAGCCTTCTTTTCCGTTTTCTTGGCCTTTAAATAGGCATACTTGGCAGGCGCCACGCCAATGTACCCTCTGGTTTTTTTCTCTCTCTCTTCCTCTTCTAGTTGTAGCAACTTTTAGTGGAGTACAAACTGACGACTCGCTGATTGTACTGTCTCCAACATCTTCGCCACTTCTGGTTCGTTTGCGAGAACTCCAGAATGCTGACCATGAAGATCGCGGAGGAATCCGATTGCCTCCCATCGTTGGACGTCGGCGCGTCGACTGGATGGTCCTCAAACACGTCCATAGAAATACAGGGCACTGGCGTAATACACAGACTGCGCTCGCCTGATCACTGTCACTTCTTTTAATCCTGTCAAATCCGGGATTATTGGCCTCATCCTACGATCGCATGTATCGTGTCCAAGACACATGCGATCGTAAGTATAAAGTATAAGTAATAAGTCAGTAAGTTTATCCTTGCTCTTCTCGGCGTAAGCGTCAGCATCATGAAGCTTGCACCCCCCAGACTTTTGCACCGGCCCTTGAGAGCACGTGGCGAGATTTGACCCGACTGGGGTAGCTGGAATAATGGCCACGTCTATCTACGTTTCGTTTCACCATGATGCTAGCTTGCACCACAATTACTAAGCTCCTCACGTCAAGGCTCGGACCCCGCAGGCTGGACATCTGCGATGGGGAGACATCTAACCTGGTTTTGGTTATGAGTTATGTAATGTTTAAAGTGTCTTTTAAAAATATATTCATCGATAAGCTTATTAGTATTGAAATTTCAACTTTGAAAAATCGTGTCATAAAAATGAATTATAAAGGCTAGAAGTATGTTATTCAGTAAAAAGATTTCCACGCTTGAATATATTTCACATAATCGCTTCGACGGTTTCGTTCCAGAGGATTATTCAGTTCGCTTAACATGATCCAATTTACCTTCTAAATGCCTCTAATAGGCCTACCCAAGTGCTTAAAAATCCTTTCATTAACTTGAATGATAAATTTCGGGTATAAAACTAGCCATTCTTATATATTGTCTGGGCTATATTTAGCTCGCAAGTGCGTTTGACCGAAATGGTTATAGGGTTTTAAAATTGTATAAAATTAATCTATAGAAGAAGCAGTACTACTACTTCTAGTACAAATCGGAACAATTCGTTTGCCAAAAAAAATGCTGATTTTCAGCGGTATGGCGTCTTATGGAACCGTCTAGAATGTATGGCATGGTGATTTTCGTAAAGGGCTGCACGACGATGATTATGCAAAAATTAGCCTGGTAAAAATGGTTGAATTTTTTTTTATCAACGCATTCGTGTCGGTATGGCGGGCTGTAAGTCACACTTGAGAAGTATGGCATGACACTGCCGCCTCTTATTTGTTTATGGACTATCGGAAAATACTACAATTTTTGTGGAACAAATCGTTTGAAAGCCGTACTTAATCCGACGAGTTCGACTAACGCCCACGCGCTTGGGCCCCGGTACCAGCGCTATGACCATCAAATTATTTTTTCATTTCGTAATAAGACCCCTGTAGAACCGCCATACTGGTACAAATGATCAACTATTTTGTGTCACTATCTCCCGGCCTATATCGTATAACGTATAACTTTTTAAATTTGGTTTAATTTTGTTTTTAATTATTTCTTTGTAGGTTATGAAAATTGTAAGTACTGTATGCTTGATTGTTATGATTACTAATAAAAATAATTACTATAATTTTTTACATACACCTGTCATAATATATTAATTATGTATAAAGGGCAAAAAGTAGATTCTTGCCCTTTATACTTAATTCTTACTTCTACTTAATTATTCTTTAGATAAACTGGCGAGCAATAAGTTATTAAAATTCATGAACGTTTTGTATTATATTGCAAATCGTAAAAAGCTAAACCTACAACTAATAGTAAACCTTAAATAATAGTATCTTTTCTGATTAACGTCAACATGTTCATCATGTGAAATTACAAAAATGTTGTGCCATATCTATGTCTATATATATATAAATAAATATGTCTTATTGAAATATTTACTTAATTACTTATCTGTCTCTCTTAGTCATAGCGTAAACACAATATTAGGGAATGAATACTCTAGTATCTAGTTAAAAGCGTTAATTGCTGTCTTAAAATTGTAACAAGATTCAGCAATGCCCTAGAAAATCTTTTTCAATAAGCTCCAGTAATAATAACTCAAACAAAATCTTTTTCCTTTGTATCTGCAAATTTTTATTTATTTATTCATTATTTCAGTCAGATATAATTTTATTAAAATTTGTGGATGGCTCGGGACAGATTTTTTTGATTGAATTACACGGTAGCAATCATTTTAATTGCCCAGTTCAAATGGATATATAAAAATAGTATTCTGAACAAAAATCTGTTGACTAAACCAAACCAATAAACAATATAATATGGAACATACACATAATTTTTTCATATTTAAGATTTTTCTTAATATAATAAGGAATTAGAATTCTGTCGTCTTTTGTCTTATCGGACAGTTGCATTTATATCCATTTTTTGTTTACTACTCTACAATGAGAATATTAATTATAATGTAAATATTAATTATGTGAATATTCTAAATGTAAGTTTTTATTTTAATTAAACATATATTTAGTATATTTTCTTAACCTACATAGTACTACAACATATTACTAATAATAATAAAACATTAATAAATAGAAAATAAAACGTAAAATTATAATATATAAATATAACTAATATTGAAAATCATATTAGTTATAATATTTAATTTTAATTGATTCATAAATTTATTGCGTTTTAAAAGCAACTATAAACATTTGAGATGGTACAGTTGAGAGAACATAATTGTAGCTTTTTACTCCAGTATACATTATACAATCTATTTTATAGACGGAACTAAACATAAATTATTTCTGTTAAATCTCTAGACAAAGAAATTTCTCTAGGTAGTAGAGAATAAAGTTTAAATACCACATCTTTTAATCACAACGTTTATAAACTGTATTTTTATGTTACTTTACTTAAATACCTACTGTGTTGTTTTGCAACAAGCAATTGTTTTAATTGTACTTTGAAACTATTGTGCATATATTAAACTAGAATATTTTTATTTACTTCCTTTCCCTTTTTACAAAACAGTGAAGCAATTAAATACTTGGAGTTAAAAAAATTTCGTGATCTTAATTAAAAATTTATTTACTATTACATTTATAAATATTTATTTAATATCAGATTTTTTTTTAATTTCGAATTTTATACTATAATACTTGTTTATAGGCGTGGCTCAAACACTGTGGCCTGTAAACACTCTCCGGCGTACTCGTCGTGTCATATGAAATTGTATGACCTGACATTTCTACGTAACGAGTTGACCGTTAACTCTCACGAACCCTTTCATGTCTCCTGAGAATAGTTGGTTATACATTCCGAGTTCAGAGTACTGTGCGACATATCGCACCATCGCATATACCGTAATATACGAATTTCAATAGGAGTACATATGTATCATATACTTTTGGAATATGCCACGGCCCACGACGTTAGTTCTGTATTTACAAATTTATTTTATTTATGATTTTTTTGATAACAAATTTATTTATGACAATTTGTCAAAAATAATTTAAGACTTTTGTAGAAGTTTAGTGTTATTTTTGCTTTGTAAGTCATAGAAATTTGTTAGACGCATTTGTGAGTCGAATCTTTAACTTTAAATAAGTTACAATCTCGTCTTGAGTACTGTCAATAGAAAATATGGTTACTTACCAAATGAAAAAGAATTAATATAGAAATGATAAATCCTAGAAATACATGGTGTAGAGAATGAGATAAATTATGAGTATAAATTCCCGTCCCACGCGAAGGATCATATAAATTCCTTAAGGTCTTATGACGTGCAATGCAATACCGAGATTATTGCTCTTGACGTCAAACTGAGTGAGAATAAACGAGGACAGGATACAAAAAATTGTGAAGAGAAGTGGAAAATTTATGTTACTAGAACCTCTGGAAGGAAATGCTATACATATGAGTATTTTTCTATGTTTTAGGTTTTTATACATCTGGAATTATGAATTCTATGAACGTCTGGACAGCTTAGGTTCTACTGCTTCTTTGAGAAATAGTGTGTTCCATATCTTCGCAAATACTATAGAACATTACACGCTTGATGTCTTATATTCATGAAAAAAGCCTATGGTTTGCGTTTTCGTAGCGTTAACCCAGGGTGGAATTTTATTCGAGTGAGTCACGTCACGCACAATCAACACAACCATTTTGTATTGTTTACATGAATTGGCAATTTACTTACGATTAAAGTCACAATGAAAAATATAACTCTCGTGAGTTTTAAATAAGAATAATTTTCTGTAAAATATAAAATCCATAAAATAGGCTAATTGAAACATACGAAAGCTCAAAAGCAAAAACAGTTTTTGATTGTCAAAATTATAAACACTATTTATTTATAGATATAATTTATATCCGACATTTAAAAAAAATAATGGAATCTCGTCTCGCGATCAACTCAAAAAAATGGTTTACAGCAGTGGCGCTACCACTTTCCTGGGGAAGGTTTAGGTGTATAATTTCCTATTGTTTTATTTACACTTACTGAAAAAGAACCATTATTGCTGAAGGGGTCGCATCAGATTTGCCATGTACGAAATACACGCGGGCGTAGCTAGCATTCTGTATAACATTTATTTATTAGATAAAAGCGAATAAGTATGGCAATACAGCGAGGAAATTCTGCCAGCATTAAAGGGACACAGCCACAGGGACCTTTTTAAATTTGTTGTCATTTTCTTTTCAATAATTTTTATATTACTTTGTAGGCAAAGAAAATTGTAAATACTTGATTGTATTCAAAATTAGATAAAATATTCAAAAATTAGCTGGCTTAATTAGGGATAGTTTATCAGATGCCTATTTTAAGCATCACAGGAAATATTTTCATAATTTTTTCTCTAACAAATTATAGGTCAAATGCTTAACACTTTACAAGAATCCTTGAAGATTGCGAAGTTCGAGAGAGGCAATATTAAAAGAATCAGATTAAAATTGCTGTTCGACGCAATTAAGTTTAAGATCAAGTTCGACTGTTAGAAAATGTTGTATAAAAGCCCGCTTTCAAAAAAATATCTGACGATACAAAATGCTTTTGTGAAACGCGATAAAATTAGTAAGATAATCGTTAATTGACTTCAAAACGAAAATGTAAAAGTAATTTGAGTTTCAACACTATCAATCTGGCGTAATGCCGCTTTGTTTATGAAGTTACGCATTCAAAACTATTTCCGCCAAATTATTATTTATGCATTAGAAGTAGAAACGTGTCATGAGTCACCGGTGTTTTTGTAGTAACTCTATTAATCCAGATTGAGGGTGAAAATCTCGGAGTAATCACCTCCAAATGTGTTCAACATGCATCGTAATATTTTAGGAGCGAATCATCGATATTTGTATAGTGCATTCGGTGACTCCAATGTAAATAATAATTGTTAATCTAAGCAAGGTGCGATACAGATCTAATTACTAGACGTGCAAGAAAAATCGTTCGACTGCGACACTAACGTCCTCGCCACGACAGCAGCGTCGCAGATAATTCGGAGTGTTGCAGTCCTTCCCGCACATGTTATTATGTAAAGCTGAAACGTCAGAATGTAGGTCAAAACGAAGATTTAAGACAACACTCACCGAGCTCAGAAGTGTCAGACAAGCAGTTAGTCTATGCTAGCGGCCTCGCACTGCGCACTCACCAACACATGTCGAAATATTCCATTATTATCTCGATAAACATGCAAAACGACCAAGCTGCGAGTGAGCGTTAGCAATGAACGCACTTCACGAGACGTGTGTCCAGCACGACGCGTTGCCGTGACGCAACACTACAACCACATCATGTCTACGGGTGTACCTACCTCTCTTCCTCCTCTGTTTCCTGGGCCCGGGGGCATTCCTGCCTCGGCCTGAGGACAGGCGTAAGCCCCCATTTTTCGACCAACTCTATACGAGCAATGATGGCTGTTCAATATCAACGTGTCATCGGTTCGGAGCGCGTGTGATGGTGCGGCAAGGCAGGAGCCAGGCCCGCGGCCCCCCCGGCCTGCTGGTGCCGCTGCCACCTTACTCGCGCGCCATGCTCTCGCGCCCGTGCCTCACTACTCGCCGCCTTCGCATAATGTGCTCAGACGCGACGTTGCCGGCGCATCGCACCTACTGCAGCACGCCTATCACTTTAACAATTATTGTCGGGTCAGGCTTTACAGAGTCTGTCGTCCGGCAACCGTTCGCGTTACGTAATACACGGGGCGCTTGCGACGGCGCCTCACCGAATGCAGCAATTCATGATCGGCGGGACGAGTCGCGTGTTTGGAATATTGGAGCGAGTGTCACGTTCGCCCGTTCTCGGCGGACTGGTGCGGGCGCGCGTGCGTTCCTCGCCCGCTCTCTGTAGCCCTCCCTTCCCGCGTGCTGCCGCGGCCCGCACGCGTATCGACACCGCGTGCCAACCACTGCACCGCGGAACGCTGCGACCGCCGCGCCGGCCCGGCCCCCGTTCCCCGCGCACCCCCTTCCACGCCTCGAGCACAGGTTTCGCGCGCCGCCCTCTACCTTTTCCGTACGCAGTGCTACCAACTTAGCGCTTTGGGCGGTTTTGAGCAGATAGCGCGTTGTAGAGACGACCGCGTTCGATCTTTATTTATGTTTTGGCAGTAAATAAAGAAATTCGCAGTGTTTCACTGGTATTGACTTATGGAAGTAAAATTCGCTTTAGAGATCCTAACTAAAGCTATAAAACTATTTCAAATGAAAATAGTAATATTTCAATTTGTAGGTTTGGCGCCAATGTTAGCGCTTTTTGGGGAGGTTCTTTTAAAGATAACGGCAATGCACGCAAAGCGGTTATACCTTGAACCTTGAAAAATCTACAGCACTACCGGATGGGGTGATATGCAGTGATCGTTAAGTATAAAAGGTATGTAAATGAATGCGATAAAGTATAAGTTTAGTTACATTGTTGCAGTGGTGGTGGGTGGTGCATCAGGAGCGACGCGTCCGGCGCGGAGGCATCAAGGCGAGTGCTGCGGAGTGCGGATGCTATGCCGACGACGAGTGCCGTCGCTGCCAAGCCGACACAACCAAGAATGAAACCTAGTACCGAGCCAACTTGAACTGATAAAATGTTAACGACCTTCAACTTATACTATCCACGTAATGCCCTACATTCGTAGACAGAAATAAATTCGATGCGATTTTCTAATATCATGTCGCATTAACGTTTTAAGTACGTACTTTATTCCCTATACTGCAGCCAACGAACAATAAATAATTCCCTTTCGGATTGGCTTTTTCATTGAAATGGCAGCAAACATATATTTACTGATACGTAAAATATTTTATCGACGCAGATCAAGTCTGTAACTGGCTTTTTTGTTGTTATAACATATGATGGTGCATTGGTAAACTTTGGTTTAGGCGCGCGTTTTTTATAGTCATTGAGAGGCAGTCATGTCTTGCGACTGCTTGCAACATTAGTCGCTGTGCAACGTCGACTGACTTATGTAAATAATGTAATGAATTGTCGTTTATATCCGTACATTCTTAATGGGTATAAGCTGTTATACAAACAAAATAATATGTGTTGTACTGCTTACGATATTATACATGCTGTGTATAATTTCTCATAGGTGTGAGTTTTAATAAATGAATAAAAATCCATCAGTTTTATTTGTTCAAATGAATTTCCATGTATGGAAATTTGATGCGTCAAAAGTAATGTATTCAAGCTGAACTGACAGTCATTTGATGGCATCAACGCTGGAATATGAAACGAGGTTTAGCAAAACGTGATCTGGCATAGGCCACGCTAATGAAGTATCACGATAATATGTCAAGTTCAATAGTGATACAATTTCCTTGAAATATAGTACACTATGAATGTAAAAGTATCCTATTATAAGCCATACGTTCACGCAACGACAGATATCAGTTTAATAATGAAGACCTTGGAAATTTTGGACAGGAGGCACGCTGAACTACGCCATACGTACTTTTTTTTTTTTGTAGTTCAGCCAGATCCTCTGAATCTCCTCTAATTCCTTTAAATCCTATCACGTACTGATCCTTCTTGATCGTGCTTTTCTTCGGGTTCACTCTTCGGGTTCGGGTTTTTATCTTTTTTACTGTATAATAACAACTATCTGCTTATTATGTAACTTATAATGGCGTTTGACATATAATAATGTAGGTTGAATTATTATATATATGACCTTCTGTGCCTAACACACATCATCTTTATTTATTTATTTATACTTCATTACCTTAATATTATTTTACCTTAATAAAAAACATACACATAACAAAAAATAAAAAAAGCAGGTTACAAAAGTTATAAGGCAACAGGCGGCCTTATCGTTAACAAGCGATTTCTTCCAGGCAACCCTAAAGTGAGTAGAAACACCTACAGAATCTACACAAGGGTACAAGTAATGCAACAATTATTTTATGTATATCTTTTTGAGTATTATAAGATTATCTGCTAGTGTTAATAGAGGAAATGACTGGTGGCGAGTGGTTGAATCTCCAATCCCTATATTGAAATACGATGCATAAATGTTCAAAACATTTCGTTCTGATAAAACTTAAAACATCTCAAATTAGACTTTTGCTAGTGAAAAAAACCTATTCACTAAATCAAAGCTTTCAACTCGTGTTCGAATTTCAAGATAACACCAGCCAGACCCAATCCTATATACTCGTAATTATTGAATAATAATAGCTCTTCTACCTAGCTAGGTTTATGATGATATCATTTCCGAGGAAGGCTATAGAAATGTTCGACCGAGCGGAAATTATTTGGTAAATTGAGAGAACATGACATGACAGGCTGTTAATTAATTTCACGTTAAGTGAAGTGACCGATAATATAGCGTGCTTGTTACCTAAGATATTTAATGGAATTTAATCGGAAAACATTTGCGGCTTTTTGGTTTATAGGTATACCAGGTTGTGGTCTACAAAGAGTATGCTGAAATTCATCAACAAATAGATACATGTGTCAGCCCTCTGGCCTTTGGGGATTATTAATATGTTTACTTTTAAGTCACGTCATAAATCTTATTTTAAAAATAATGTTACTTATAATAAACGTAAGTTTTTCTTGAATACCAAGTGAACTAATGGACTTTTCTTTATCGCACATGTATCGCAGTTAACACTCTTGTATTGTAAAGGAATAAGTAAAGATCAATGGTGTCTGTCTCAGAAAGCTCAGATCAGAGAAAGAGCAACTTACTTATTGATCAGCTCAGATCAGAGCAAAGAGAAACTTACTTATTGATAAGGCCTATACTGGGTTAAAATTTCCTTTTTTTGTTTAGTCCGAAATTAAACGTTACTCCATTAAGATTAGCGGCCATGGCTATTGGGTCTAAAGAACAAAATTATTATAGTGATAGCTGAAACCTTGGAGGATTATTAATCGATTTGAAATAGTTCTAGCTAAGATAGTTCTATCAACATCAGTAAATTTTTCTAATTGTAGACAACACTACATTATGTTGGGTTAGCAACCCATTGTTAGTAGACCATCATTATTTGAATTGGATTGAATAACGATAGCAATTCACCGTAGAATTATTATTTGTAAATAATTGTATGTTATGTAAACAAAAACACCGACTCTATGTATTGTTTAAATAAAGCATACTTCATTTATTCTTTAATTAAATAATCCAGTGGCACGCATATGGGTCTTGGCCGAAGATTGAATCCTTGATAATTTTAATTGACAAGTTGGTCATCAGTCTTCCCTCACCTTCAGTTTTGATATGCGTAGATTATTGAGTTTTAAGAACTACCTTTAAGACGTTTCTTAACGGTGTTTGCCTTTCCACTAGGAGCATGTGTTGGTTGCGCACATGAAAAAGAAAACTTTATTGGTTGACAGCTGTGATTCGAACAGGATGGAGAATAGCACCCTTTAGCTACACCGCTTTTAATTACACTCTAATTAGCATAGGTTTTATAACTAATTCAGTTTAACTCTATAGTAAATTGCCCGTTGTCTTATAACTTTTGTAACATGTTTTTTTTTGTATTTTTGTTATGTTTGTGAATAAGGTAATAAAGCATAAATAAATAATTTAATTAACAATAAATTAATATTAATAAATAAGTTTTACATATAAAATAATTAAACACCAATATGTGATAACAATTGAATTATCGATAAGGCTAAATATCCCTGTAGCATGCTGCTTGTTGTAAAAATATTATTGCAGTTAATTTAATCAGCTTTTTATTTTGTATCATTATGTAATATATTATATATTGTTGTTTAGGACCTAAAACTACTCTATAATCTTAACTTAACTATTCGGTAAATAGCAGTGATGCAGAGAGAGTTTTGACAATGAACATTCATTAGAATTTTCACCTGGTTTAACGCTTAAAACTTTATAAAAATTACTTATTCAACATTATAATTACATATTTTATAAGGAAATGAAATTATTTATTTAAACTGATTAATCACAGTGTGTAATGAAGCTTTCCTTTGTATTAAAAACGCAATGGAATGATAAGTTGAACCACAGACTACATCTAATTCTTATTGATCCAATATCCCTTAAAAATAGTTTCAATGGATCGACCGTTGCTTAAAATAAATTCTGGAATAAAATAGTTACTTGGTTAGAAATCTGAATTCAAATTTAGTATCAGGTGATCTTTCATCTGATTGACGTCTTTAAATACGGACGTTCAGTGTTGAATCTCTGAGCAAGTTATTGCGCACCCGCGGCACAGTCAGCAATAATTGCCGTTTCCCGTGTTGTTAATCGGTACTAACAACCACTGGCTCTCTACATGTACAGTATATACCTTACCCGTAAGGAATAGAGTAAGATAATTGCGTCATACTCATTATCACTTTTTATTTATTTACAAAAGCTTGCCAACACGGAACACATTGATACATACAAAAATGTGCACGTAAAAAAAATACATCGATTAATAATATATAATTTTTAATATTATATGTCGAAAGCAATGTCGTTAATATCAGCTGCTTGTGTAATTAATTTTACAGGGCTTCTAAATTAACAATTAAGTCGAAAACTATAATTAGTTATATTTGTAAATAATGATTGTAATTGAAAATTCAAACATAACACATTTATATGAAATGGTAAGTTTTGTATTTGCTATATCTATATGAGCATTTATTATTTCGGTGCTCGGTCTTCTTTGATGTTATCGATTTATGTTTGATGACTTTTTCTATTGCGTGTTGTTCCCACGAGAATATAAGTGCGTACTCCTATTTCACCATGCCTACTGCTGATAGAGGACAAATAGTTTTTTTATTTTAATTAACTATTAATTACTTAAGATGTCATGTGAAACATGGTGTGAGGGTTGCAGCTCCTTACAAACCTTGTGTAGAACAAA